GGAGGAGGAGGAGGAGGAGGAGGAGGAGGAGGAAAAGGATTGTGGGGTCCTTGGAGCTCTCTAAGCTGGGTGGTTTTCTTGCAGACGTCTCATGACCCAACGAGGGAACGTCCTCCGTGCAATATGTAAGGCTGGGGACGTGGCTCTCAATGTCCTGCCTCCTTTGGGCAGCTCGGGCCTCCCTAATTCCCAGAAGCCCCTCCTGCTCTTCTCCGGACCCCAAATCAGGAGACCCCACCCCCACCCCTAACCCCCCTCCACCCCTTCTTACCGTGCCGAGAGCGATGGCCTTCTTGACTCGGTACTGCTTCCGGGGATCCAGTTTGTAGAGGTGCTGGTCGGTGATCAGAAGGGCTCGGTCCGTCCGTTTGTTACACCGGTTGACCTGTGGAAGTGGGGAGGCGGTCAGGAAAGGAAGGTTCCCCCCCCCCCCAAGAAGAAGCCACTCAGGACCTTCCTCACCTGCCAGATCGAGGAAGGAGAGGGAGACAGCCGGCGGGGGAGGGGGGCTGCCATGGTTCGGGCAAAGTGGTTGCAAACCGGTAGCAAATTTTTATGGCTGGTTGGTAAACCAGCAAAATTCCACCCCTAGCTGGCCCCACTCACTCCCCTCCTCCCCTCCCAGGAGCCCCCACGTGGCCCGTTTTGGATCCCAGGTAAGTATAGGGCCTGCGTGGAGGCTCCCGAAAGCCAAAAATGTTCCTGTTTCTTGCCTCTGGAGCCCAGAGAGGCCATTTTGCCCTCCCCAAGTCTCAAGGAAAGCCTCAGGAGCCCGGGGTGAGTGAAAACACCTGCCTCCCATTGCAGTGCAGAGGCCAACTAGGCCACACCCATCATCACCACGCCTACCCAGCAACTGGCAGACAACTGGTTGCTAAAATTTTTGAAGCCCACCCCTGGAGACAGCCCACCCCGTTTAAGCCCTGGAGGTCAATGGGGAACCAGGCGCCGTCCTACGGGTGCTTCTTGCTTGCGATTCAACTAGCTTCGGGCTACTTACTGGCATCCTGGAGGTGTTACCGTAGAGACTTCCAGGGATAGAGCAGCCTTTTCTCACTTGGTTTGGGGGAATTGGCCGTGTCACACCTGAGGAGGCCGTGCTTCTAATTGAATGCTTGGGAGGTGGCATCATAGAGACCTCCAGAGATAGAGTGGCCTTCCTGAATCGGGCACCTGCTGTTTCTGTCTCTCTTTCTTTCTGTCTCTCTGCCTCTCTGCGTCTCTTTCTCTGTGTCTTTCTGTCTCTCTCTCTTTCTGACTCTCTCTCTTTCTGTATGTCTCTCTTTCTCTGTGTGTCTCTTCGTGTGTCTTTCTCTTTCTCTCTGTGTCTCTTTCTATCTCTCTCTTTTTGCCTGTGTGTATGTGTGTGTGTGTGCGTCTCTGTCCCAGCCTTAGCAACTTGATGATGACTTGGACTTCAACACCCACAATTCCCGAGCCAGCCTGACCCACATGGGCCTCTCACCTTCCTCACGTGGCACGAGAACAACACGGAACTGAAGTGCATCTTGTCTTTCAGGGCTGAAACCTGTTTGATGAACTGCGGAGCCAAGCTTGGATTCTCCTCTGCCTGGAGAAGGACGGAAGAGGACAGGAGGAGAGTCGTTATGTCTTGTGAAGTGGGGGTGAAGTGCACTGGGGGGGGGGGGTCCTTGGTGCTCTCTGAGCTTGGTGGCTTTCATGCCGATGTTTCACGACCCAACTAGGGAACGTCATCAAGGCTACGTAGTGTGTGGCTTGCTCCCTGCTTTATCTAAATAGTAACTTGCTCTGCCAAGGTTGGCGGGGGATAAGAAGCTTTCTCCTTGGTGGTTTCTGGAGTAGGTTGTTTGTGTGGTGTTAACCCCTGCTCAACTGGAACTGATGATGATGTGAGTGCTGATAGTGTCTCCCTGTCTCTCTCCCTGTTTCCCTCTCTCTATTCATCATATCTATCTCGCTATTCATCTCCATCTTCTTATCTGCATATATATAATCTTTATTTATCATGTATTCGTTATCTATCTATCATCTATCTATACCTATCTATCTATCATCTGTCTCTCTCTGTATATCCGTATATCATCTCTTGTTCTGTCTCTCTGTGTCTCCAATCCATCCATCTATTGTATCTTTCTCTCTATTGCATTATTGCATCTAGAATGATATTGTATCTATCTAGCTGTATTAATCCATATATATTATCTACCTCTATTTTTCTGTCTCTCACTCTCTATATCCATATAATCCCTCTATTATTTATCTCTGTCTGTCTTTCTATCTATGTATCTATAACATCTCTCCCTCTTTTCCTCTGTCTCTCTGTCTAGCTATCTGTTTGTCTGTCTGTTTGTCTGTCTATCATCTCTCTTTCCCTTGGTCTATCCGTCTATCCATCTATTCGTCTATCTCATCTGTCTCTCACTGTCTCTGTCTCTATCCATCTATCTATCATATATCTGTCTCATCTCTCTTTCTCTCCGTCTCTGCCTTTCTATATCTGTCTATCCATCTATCTCATCTCTCTGTCTCTCTCTCTCTCTCTCTCTCTCTATCTATCTATCTATCTATTCGTCTATCTGTTTATCCATTTATCCATCTATTCTATCCATGTATCTCATCTATCTCATCTCTCTCTCTCTGACTCTCTCTCCATGTCTATCAATCCATCTAATATCTAGCTCATCTCTCTGTCTCTCTGTCTGTCTCTCTCTATCCATCTATCCTATCTACCTCATCTATCTATCTCATATCTCTCTGTATCTGTGTATGTGTCTCTCTCTGTCTCTCTGTCTCTGTCTCTGTCTCTCTCTCTCTATATATATACACATCTATCTATCCATCCATCTATCTCATCTATCTATCTCATATCTCTCTGTGTGTCTCTCCATCTATCAGTCTCTCCATCTGTCATTTACCTCCTCTCTGTCTCTGCCTCTGCCTCTCCATCTATCCGTCTATCTATCTATTCCTCTTTCTCATCTCTCTCTCTCTCTCTCTCCATCTATCATATATCTATCTCATCTCTGTCTCCCTGTGTGTCTGTCTCTCCATCTATCTATCATCTCTCTCTCTCTCATCTCTCTCTCTGTCTCTATCCATCTATTGTCTACCATCTCATCTCTCTGTCTCTCTCTGTGTCTCTGTCTCTCCATCTCTCTGTCTATCCATCTGTCCATCTCTCTCTCTCTCTCTGTCTATCCATCTATCTCATACCTCTCTCGGTTTCTCTCTGTCTTTCCGTCTCTCTCTCTCTCTCTCTCCATCTATCATCTATCTATCTCATCTCTCTCTCCCTTCCCCCCCCACCCCCCGGCCAACTAGCCCAAGGGATGGGCCAACAGTGAAATGCCCCCTCGGTTCAGTTGGGAGGACCGGCACGGAAGGGTTGCGCTTGGAGCTCCCGGGGCGTGCGTGGAAGTCCGTGTGAGGATGAAAGCGTTTTTTTCTTCTCTCCGCCCCCCCCCCCATACACAAGAATTGCACAACGGATAGAACGGGGTGGAGGTGGAGGCTCCAATAATCTTCTGCCTCCAGCCAAGAGGCATCGTCACCATGGAAACGGTGCGGACGTTGAACCAACCCACCCACCCCCCAAAAAATCCTGATTCTATGAGATGCTCTGGGCTGAGTCTTGCATCACCCAGAACTTGGGGGGGGCAGATATTTAAACAACAACAACACCCCTGCTTCTGACTTCCCAGGAACCCTCAAGGCAGGTAGGGCTGGTGGGGTGGGGTCTCCAGACAGGATAGAGAGAAGAGAGGTGCTCTCCGAGATGGGGAGGGGGGGGGTTTCCTTGTAAATGTTTCATGACCCAACT